TTGCAAGGTAGAATTGGGATCATGGTAGTTGGGGGGAGGAAGCGTTTAAGAACTAGAGGAAGGTTGTGAGTTTCATTATTGTTACACTGAACCCTGAGTGACTCATCTCCTCCCCACTACCCCTCTGCAAGGAATGTCCAGTTGTCTACAGATGGGCATTGGGTCCCCATCACACGCTCCCCTCATTCACGATGATATGATCCCCCCCACCCCACCCCCGCCTTTGGTGCTTGAAACCTGATTCCCTCAACCCTTCATGATCACACATGTTGATGTGCTGCTTCCATGTGGGCTTTGTTGCTTCTGGGCTAGTTGGCCGCTTGTTTACTTTCAAGCCTTTAAGACCCCAGGCGCTATATACCCACCTTCCCGACATGATCACTGAAGACGAACGTGTGCATAAGCAAATGTGGTGAAGAAAGCTGATGATGCCCTGATATCAAAAGATATAGTGCCTGGGGTCTTAAAGGCTTGAAGGCAGACAAGGGGCCATCTCGCTCAGAAGTAACAAAGCCCACAGAGAAGAAGCACACCAGTCTGTGTGAACACGAGGTGTTGAAGGGATCAGGTAGCAGACACCAAAGAACAAAAACCATCATTGTGTGAACACCTTCCCCACATAAACGCTGAAGAATAATGTGTGCATAAGTAAGTGTGGTGAAGAAAGCTGATGGTGCCCGGCTATTGATACATTTTACTATATTTTTAACCTGTAGAAACAAGCAATTTTATAAAAATAGAAAATTTCTTGTTTATCCATGCCATTAATTGTGTTTGATTTTGTTCTGCCTATGTAATCAAATAAAATTTGAATGTCATGCAAAAAAAGAAAATAGAAAAATTATAAAATCATCTTTCTGGGCAACAAATGAAAATAAACTAGCCGTTCTCTTTTCCTTTTTTGGTTCCACTTTATAAAGGTCTTTCTTATCACTTTGTATATTTAACCTAATTATAATGTTTTAGACAGACATTTGACTGTATAGAGACTTTTATTCTGATTTTTTTAAATTTAATTATTCAAATTAGAGAATATACTTTCTATCTTGAGGAAAAATAATCCATTAACTTTTCTTTTTGTCAACTTTGACATATACTATTAAGTAACCAAAATCCAACGATGTTACATTGACCATCTACCCTAAGTGAAATCATCTATTGAATTCCTCTTTGGGGAAAGGGAAAAAAAAGTAAAGAATATTACTAAGGCTTTACTAAAAAGTAACATTTAAAAAAGAACTAAGTTATTTTCAGATGTTAAATTTTTGAGGATGAGAGATATGTCTTCTCTTAGTTTATTAAAAAAAAAACTATTTGGGGGTTGGTTAGTTTGTTTTCCCACTAATTTTACCATGCAAATTGAATATTTTCCTATATTTTTCTTTCCTTATGGTTTGTTTTCTGATTGGTAAATTGAACTGCCACTTTGATACTGCCCCCAAGCCCCACCCCACACTACTGCCCTAACCTTCAATATTGCCATACAGTCTAGGCGCATTACAGAGTTTGCCTTATTGTGTACCAGTCATATATTAAATGTATGTAGATTTGTCAAATAACTAGTATATTCACTCCAACTGTATAGTTGGCCCAGCTCTTTGCCACCAATACCATGTCTACTACTCTAGTCTTATTTTCTGTTTCCTGTCTTTATTTACTCCCATTTGTTAAATTGCTCATAGCCAGGAGCTACATATTAAATTTCTTATAATGCACTCTTTGAGGTTCTGCTGTGAAAAATGTTGCTAAAAGTGTTGCTTGGGTGTTTATTCTCTAGGACTTGCCAGCTAATAAAGTTAGTACTCAGCAACCTACCTGTTAAGTTAGCAAGTGCAGAGAAATGTTCTAGAATCTAAAAGATATGGAGCAGAGAAAAGAGCCTGGGTCTGAGAACAAAAGATTTGGGAGCAACTTCTGTCCTTATTCCTTAGCGTTAGGGAAATTCCTTCACATTCCTAGAGTTAATGTCCTCATTTGTGAAACATGGAATGAGTACCAGACTTTACGATCCTATATGTACCTGGACCCCATTTTGGAAATTCACGTAGTGTGTACTACTGATAAAACAATAACTAGAACAAGAAAATTATGGGTTTGTGTCCTTCTAGAAACTTGATCTCCCTCTTAGAAAACAAAGGTTGGTTGTTCATTGCATAGCCGTCAAGTCTCTAGACTGTCTCGAAGATGGCAGCCAACTGCATAGCTTTGAATATGTGTGGTGCCCCACAGTTCTGGGAGTAATCCAACCTCCCACATCAGGCTCCTGAAAAGGCTCGCTACGCCTCTTCTAAGTTACTCTTGCAGGGTTCCAATCTGTAACTGTTCCCATTCAGCTATTGACCTGGTACACCCAAATTCCAATTTGTTCAGATTTCATCTGTCTGCCTTCACTGAACTCCTTGTGGCTGGTTCGAAGCCCTGTAGGCACATGGGAATCACCTGAGGAGTGTCTGAACGTACTGATGACTGCGGCTTATCTCAGTTGAATTAAATCAGAATGTCTAGGAAGTGGCGCTCGGGCAATGGTTTTGTTAAAATGCCTTAGATCACACTAATGCTAATTCAGCCAGAGTGGGAAACAGTTTTTCTAGCAGTACTTTTGGGAGGAACCAGAAATGTGCGTTTTGGGACTTTCCCTCTTTGGTGGCTAGAAACCGAACACAATTTTTCTCCTACCTCCTTGTCTCCAACTTCCCCTCTGCCTGCCCTCACTTTCCTTCCCCCTGTCTAATTTGTCAGTGGTCATTTGATTCCTGGTGAAATTCTTTGTGCACTTGTTAATACTGTTCTCCAAAGTGTTGGGAGCATAATTTGAGGTAAGGGGGAAAGGTTGATAGTTTATAAGATTGTACTGTAACTGTTGTTATAAAATCAAAACAAATTATTGAAAGCTCACCTTACCCCCCCCCCCAGTATAATGTCAATACCACGTGATTTTTCTTTTTTTGTCAAGAGAACAGTAATAATTGTTATTCATTGTAACCAGAGAAACAGCATGTTATTGGAGGTAACTACTCTGCCCCAGTGTCTTCCTGTGTCCTCTTGAATTCTGTGTTCATTATGAATTCTATGAAGGAGAGACAGATCCCGTTTTTCTTTGTTAACTGGGAAAGTAGAAATGTATTCTGTAGCATGTTTTCATTACTGAGCCAGGACGCGAGCGCTGATGCTCACTGGACCCCAGTCACCTGGGATGGGACCTAGAGCAGAGGGCCACGTAGCCAGCAAGCCCTAGGCTCTAGGCTGCTTTCCACACATGTGACATATGCCATCCACACCCTGGCAGCTGACTTCTCAGACCTGATGGAGCACAGGTCTTCATCACTGGCAACCTGGAACTCATAGCTAGGAGGTAGGCCACAGTTGGCCATTAACAAGTGTTGGGAAAGGAAGGATGCCTAGCAAGAGCCTTAGCCTCGGCAGACATAGTCCCTGGCTGGGTGGAAGGGACAAGGCCCTGAGGCGGAAGTGGGAAATGAGGGTATTTAGAGATTATAGAATTTTAAGTACACTTGATATCATGAATTTCGGTCCTTCAAGATACTATTCGGTAATTCTGCTTTCTATTGTGATACTCGTATTCTGGCTATTAAATCTCCACCATTCTTCTTTCTAAGGTATCATGTATGGACCTGCTTTCAGTGCAGTATCTGGAGATGTTAACGTTTTTTTTAACAGATGCATTGATTCAGAAATAGTAGCTGTTTGACATGTAATTTGTAATTTTTATCCAGATTCTCACAGATGTTTAATATGCTATATTATATTACTTAGTAACACCTGGCTGGGCTGTTGTGAATGTATGTTCGTTTTAATTGATATATAATTGTCATGAAGAAAACTTATCATTCTAATAGGCGTTTTACTCCCCAAATTGAACATAGATCTTGATAGTAAAGGATAGCAATTATAAACAAATCAATAATTCAGGCACAACTAAATGGAAAATATAGTCTTGGGAAATTGCTCTCTGAAGCGAAAGTTCCGATTGTCCCTCTTCTGTCACTAAACAAACGTATGTGCTCGGCAGTTGTGGAGAACGCCACACCACAAAGGCGGAGAGTTAGGTGGCAACTTCAGCTCTGCCGTCCCTCTTCTTTGTAACCTGGAGCA